TCACTGAGGTCCTCCATCCACATGACAGAGAGGGGAATGCAAAAATGACTCAGCCTGCAACTGAAAATTGCTTGTTTGTCGTGCTAGCACCGAGATACATACATACATATATATATATATACACACACACACACAGTTGTATTGCAACAGGTGGAGTGCATCCTAATTTTTATAACATTAACATTTTTATATGACAATATAGCCATTTTGACCTTTAGACAAATGTTTTTTGAGGGTATCAACTCCCAATAAATGTCATTTTGGGAAGTCTAGTCACTTATTTTTACTCAATACTTTTACTTTTAATATTTAAGTACATTTTATGTCAGAAAGTTACTTTTGATACTTAAGCACAAAATGCTGTATATTAGATACTTTAAGAGTTTTACTCAAGTAATATTCTTAGAGGAGACTTGACYTTTTACCAAAGTAAATTTATGGAAAGATACTTGTACTTTTACTCAAGTATCACTTTGAGGTACTTTATACAACACTGTTATCAATCCAGCAGTGCAAAATGAGTTCTTGACATTTTTAAACTGGTCTCAAAATTTTGATCAGGTGTGTATTTTATTAGTTTACCAGGAGTTTTTGAAAATTTCTTTCTAACAACACAGCAGGCTGAATGCAAAAAACATTGTTGCGCATCAACAATTATTTATTACATGAACTGACTGAAATTTAGTTTTTCACATATAAGTGACAAAATTGGTATAAAAAATTAAACACGCAGAAGAGAGGAATCCAGCAATTTTAATGTGTTAATACAAATTTATACTCAGATTTGTTAAGTTCACAGATTAAAAAACACAAGTTGAAATAGTAAAACTAGGTGCAAAATCCATGTTTGTCTTTTCGTCTGTCCTGCTATTTCTTTTAGACGTGTCTGACTCCTTTTTCTCTCACATAACAGCAAACACATGTTTTAATTAATGCTCTGCATTAATAATGACACTCTCTCACCAAATTCTCACCCAAAATTCATTGCTACTTCCTTGTGCATTTCCATCCAGAATATTTTTGTTCTTTTACCCCAGTCAAAACTTGTATCCCAATTTTAATCATAATTTAAATAAATCAGGTAAATTAGTTATATAAAAAAGTCACATTTAGGAGTTAAGACTGATATAAAAATATCTTCCTTGGTTTCCCTTTAAAAGTGATGGTACCCTAACAAGTGCCACACTAATTTAACAATTAATAATTGTTTTACAAATCAACTATAATATACAGTATAATTCCCTTCTCAATACTGTATCTTCAAGACTTTTTGTGTTTGATTTCACTGTAATTATTTACCCACACAGACCAGTTTAATGTAGGTCAATCACATGACTCAAGTTTGCATGTGCTTTAGGAGGATACTGACCAAGTGTTTTGTTTACGTTGAGTGCATACCTGCATTTTACGATCTCACATGCAATATATCCGGGAAACTACTTGAATSMACTCTTTCAAACTGCACCATTTTATGTTGCTCCAGGTAACCTTTTTTGGTTTTATATCGTAGTTTGTATTACAATGTTTAACTATAATTCTGAAGACTGTCGTGTGCCAAAATTAATAGGCTTGAATGAAAATGTTTTTGTTACGATGATTAGATGCAGGCTGAAGCAGGAATACACACTAAGCAAGCCTTAGCAAACAGAGCTTTATCACTGCTCAAAAAATTAGAATATTGTGAAAAAGTTTTTTTTATATTTTAGACATGAGCTACAAATATCAAGCCAGGGACAATGTCAGAAGAGTCATACCTGGGCTGAGGAGACAAACTGTACAAATGAACTGTACTTAGAAAGCACCTTTCTATCAAATCAGGATACTCAAAGTTCTTTACAACATAATCTGGGCCTTCTTTTACCAATTAACACTCATTTATAAAGCACTTTATTATAAATTTACAAAGATTATCTGAAAAAAATCTATAGAGACTAGTCAGTGTTTTAGTTCAGTGGTTCCAAAGTTGTGGTCAGGACACTTCTGTGGTCATGTAGTATCAAGTGAGGGGCCCCAGACATCAATTTAAATGCTAATAAATTGCAACAATTAAAAATAAAATAAAACATAAACACAAGTGGTATCACAGTATTTATGTTTGCTTATTTTATATGCTCACAATAAACAGAGTTGATAGTAAAGTTTGCATTCAGGTYGCATTTTCTTTGTGGCCCAGAAGCTAAAAAGTTTAAAAACCACTGCTTTCGATTGCCTTCATACACTGATGGGACACACATCAGAGGCAGTGAGGGTTCAGTGTCTTGCCCAARGACACTTTGACATGTTACTGAAAAGTGGTGGAATTGAACCCCCCAAATCTCTCATTGGAGGACGACKACTCTAAGCACTCAGCCCGAGCTGCCGTCTCAGACTGTTAGGGGTCCAATGTCCTCTTTTCAAATGAAAGTCATTAGGAAATGAGGCTCCCAGATTCTGGAGGAAGAGTGGAAGTTTCCACAGTCAGTGATCTTTTATGGTGCCATGTCCTCTGGTGCTGTTGGACCACAGTCAACACAGACATTTATCAGGACAATTTTATAGCACCTCATGCTACTTTCTGCCAACAAGTTTTATGGATATGCTGATAAATTTTTCAGCAGGAAGCATGACTTGGCACCTGCCTACACTGCCAAAGGGACCAAAAACCTGGTTCAGTGACCCTCGTCATTGAGCTGGGTGTCAGGTTGACTGACCTGAACTCCCTAGAGAATCTATGGGCTATTATAAAAAAATAAAAATTAACCTGAAGATCGCTACCAAAGCAATAAAGCTCAGCAGAACCACAGGCTGATCAATGCTTTTCAAAAGCCTGACTTTTGTGTTTAAAATATCCTTCTATTGATCTTATGTAATACTCTGATTTTCAGAGACAGTAAATTTTATTTTTTCATTATTTGTAAGCCATAATAATCAAACTGAAAAGAAAATTTTCATTTCCTGTGTTTGATGTAGCAAACCACTCCGCTCTTTGGTCTCAGAGTACCTCTGTCCAGGACGTCAAAGGTCTGTCCTGGAACGAGGGTGAAATCGAACCTTTGAAGCAGCTTTGCCATCACCACTTTAGCCTCCATCTAAAACCACCCAATCATTCAGCTGTGTTAGGGTTTGTACAAATATAATGAATGCATTGTGTAAAGTAATCTTTGGCCCACCCACCTGAGCAAAGTTCTGTCCCAGGCATGAGCGTGGACCGAGGGAAAATGGGTAGTAGCAGTAATATGGCCTGATAAAATATATAAAGAGTTTATTTCATTTTATCTGCCACAGAGACGGTTTCTAAAGTACCACAGGAAGTAAAACATGACATTATGAGAACATTTTGTTCTACTTACTTGGGAGCGTCTGGGTGAAATCTGTCTGGATCAAATTTCAGTGGGTCCTTGAAGAACCTTTCCATTCTTCCAGTGGCATAGGAGTCAAACTGAACATCAGAACCATGTTAATTGTTGGTAATGTTGTAAGTGGCCAAGAAACTAGTATTGTTCTGTTCAATACATAATGACTATTTATTATTATTTATCAGACAAACACTTCCTGCTTTAGAGCTACAAGCATGTTTGAATAAAAAAACTCACCATACAGCGGAATCCTCCAGGGATGTGGACACCATCGATCACCATGTCTTCAACAATCYGACGGGMTGTTCCYGGAGCAGTTGGGTACATCCTCAGAGTCTCCTTTAGGACCTGTTATAATGTGACACCAATTTTAGTATTTCCATTTACAACAATAAACATGTTAATCTTAACTAAACTGCAAGTTTTTCAAATGAGCAAAAAATCTGGATGAATGTTTAACACTAATGTTTAACAATATATAAATCTGAAGGTAAATATCAGTGAGGACACTACAAATACTTTGTAGATTCATCATCTGTACCTGTGAGAGGTAGATCAGTTTCCCAAGGTCRTCATAGCTGATGTCTTTTTTCATCCCAATGACATCGTCCACTTCTTTCCTCGCTCTGAAAAGTCAACACTCTGCTTCAGAAACCATTCTTCTCTTACTGTATGACAAGCTAATAAAAACTGAATATATCTTTGTGACGATGTGTCCCACATTGCCCCTCGTAAGCCCATTTTTGTCCCACATTTGGTTTCTTGGGATCTGGTCACCCTATATATCTTACTTCTCCAGAATTTCAGGATGTCGTCCAAGTTCCATRATGCAGAACCCCAGCTTATTAGCTGTTGTTTCTTGGCCTAGAAGAGAGATGTTTTGACAAAGGTGAAGAAGGACGTCACTTTATAATAAACTACATATTGCAATGAAAGTGGTATTTCAGTGGTCAGTATTAATTGTTTCAATCATCAATGAATTATGGACCAGAAAAAGATAGCATCTACTGTTAAACTGCAGAGTTGTCTCACTATGGAGTATGACTGCTCTGTGTATTTCTCAGACCTTGTGATTGATCTCCTGAAAATGTTATTTATTTGATGTCGATTAGAGCATGCATTYGCTGTGGTGACCTATTTTTTGACTGGGCAGTCCAAGTTCCATGTCAGAAGTGCTGATAAAATGAAAAAAGTTAGGCGCATAAAGAGCACTCTGCTGCATGCCTTTGTTACTGTTGTTAATCTACTCGCACATGTGCAGAAAAACTATCGACTGCAGCCGTCTGCAGTGTGCAACATCACCTTAAAAACTCACTTTAAGACTTGGATTAAAGAAGTTTAAATGTGAGAGAAAACCTGCCATTGTCATGTACACAAATGGCTTAAACAGAAATATTAAAATTTCTCAAAAAGAAAAAAATTGTATAGGTCTTCTGGACGGGTTCTTCTCTAATGAAACTTTTCGTCTCTCCTCCAAGAGACTTCTTCAGTCTGAGAGTTTCAGGCAAAACGTCGGGGAAACAAAGCAGCCACTGTTCAAAAGAATGTCCCAACACAGACGAGCTACATCTAATGGCCAGAAC